TGTACAACTTCAGTCTAATCCTTTAGTAAACGTTATACCATCAATGACCTACAATAGGATATTCTGATATATACAATAAGGTGTATATCAGTTAATGCCACCCTATCCCGCTAACTAGGGACTTTACTGTCAGCTGAGCTTGACCATAAGGTGTCTCAAGCAGATCCCATGGGACTCGCATCCATACCATAAAACCTACCAACATACCCAGTCCAAGGGAGGTGCCAAACACTGTCTGACAATGGGAGCGAAACCATTTAGTTGCAATGAGTGTGGGCCTCTTCAGCTGAAGGCCTGTTTACATTGGAAAATGTTAATGTATTTAGAAAACATTGGGAGCACTTGCATTAGACAATAAAATGCTGACCCCAGCTCTATAATCAGTATAGACTAGGACAAGTTACATTCAGCAACATGTCAGTAACTCACAGAAAACTTTGGTATTGACAGAGATTAGTACTTGCTGACACAATACTGAATGTGATTTGTCCCTATTTTCAGTGACCGCTAAGTACTTAAATTCTGCATTATTCAAACACAGTAACAACGAACAATTGTTTAAACACAATGACATTTTCTAATGTACACTAGCCCTCTTAGCTGAAATGTAAAACCAAGTAACCTAGAATAATGTATTATGCAGATCTTCCTCCTCTTTCAATAATTCATAAGTTACAAATTTAAATGAAAGGTCCTAGAAACCAGGAACCATCTAGCCCACAGACATGAACAATCCTGAACACTGGGGAAGTTAATCTATATCTGATTTCTATGCACAAGTCACTGGCATTATATAAGGGGAATCTAAAGAGCTGGTAAAGGCTCTGAACTCTAGGTATTCTGAGAAACAATTTAAATAAAAAAATCATAAGATAATTCCCTCTCCAAAATAGTGTTTCATTCATTCAAGGAAGGAGGACAGGAAAAGCATCAGTCTTTGTTCCTAAGACAATTTACTTTGGACATTTTGGCTCTTAAAGTTGTTTGTTTTCTTTTTTCCTCTTAAACTGATTCATACACACTTCACTTTCCAGCTTCATTATGGAGATCAGCAGGGTCTGTTCACAAAATCCTGCAACCAATGTTGGGAGACTTTTGGCTCCTAAAGTATTGTGGAGTACAGGGTATAAAAATTATTAGATCTCTCTGTCTTCTTTAGAAGATGATATTTTCTGTAGAGTTTTTTTTTTTTTTTAATATAATACATTTTAAAAGCATAGTTACATTAGCTATATAGAATTATTGGTTGGCCTTGGTCATGATTTTCACATCTCACAACAGAAGCCAGGGGCACAATATCTTGTTTATATAGAAATTGCCATATGTCAAATCAAGGGTCCTATCTTTGACATGGATGGAGCCAGATACTTCAGCGGAAGCTCTAAGAACCCAGAAACAATGAAACCAGGCATACCCTTTGGGCTTCAGCCTCATCTGTATGGGCCTGAAGCCTGAGACCGAATAATTAAAAAAAATAAAATCATCCTTAGCACTGGTAACTTGTGACAGTGTTATCCATGTCAATACCTGATCCTGGTTGGAATTTTATTGACCTTTTGACCTCAATGACTTCCGATAGCAATGACTTCCTATATATTGGTTTAATCACACAAAGTGTGAAAAAGTATTTCCTTTGGTCAGTTTTGAATTTCCTTTACTTTTCCTTTGGTTCTTGTGTCTTGAGACAAGGAACCACCTTCTAGTTCTCTAATATCCTTTTTGAGAAGCTGTGACTGCACACAATAATCCTGATAAGGCTATCTCTTTGATTTGCGTAAGCGCATTATAATATTCAAAGATGGCACTCCTTTCTCTGTATTAATGATTAACTATGGGAACACTTAAGGTTATGTATTTTTAATGTCTTTATCCAAGTTATACTGGATATATCTTTGATTTCTAAAACTAATAGTCTTTAAAAGAACTCAGGTCTACTTGTTTAGTTGCTTTTCTATTTTGTATAGCGCAGTGATAAACTAGACCAGCGTTCTTAGTCACTGTCAGAGTAGCAACAACAATGCTGGGGTGTTGGATAATTCACATTCCAGAAGCACAGTTAAATTAAAAGGCCTGTTTCTATTTTTAATATAAAAAACAAATCTATATCAGTGTCTATCAAATCACTGTTCTCACACTACCCAAACCAATATTCAGGTATACATTTCTTAACATGCTTCTTTTAACTTTTCTTTTCTGGAAGAATGAAAACATTCCATGACAACATTCAATACCAATGAATAAATACATCTCTCCCTAGATCTATAAAACTTTGCTTTCTGCAGAAATCACAGACTAAAATAGACATTAGGCCAAAGCAATATTTTAAGGGGAGGAACTCCACTTGCCACACATGACTAATTCAAATAATGCTGCAAAAAGCACAGGCAATATTTAGCACTTTCATAAATAACTGAAAACATAAGGTTTAGAAATGACACAAAAAGATAAAACATATAAAAATTTCAAATAGATTCAATTTACAATAGGTAAGTGTGCTAGTCTGAATATAGTGGGCATGAAGCATGGTGTCCAATGAGCAAGCCTTCTATAACCCATCCCTTTTCTCATTGTCTGAATCAAATGTTGACGCTGAACAGGAAAGAAACTAAGATTCTGTCCACAGTCTGGGATGGTAACTAAGATGGGTATCTGGAAAGTTGGGCCTATGCTCTTCCACAGGTTCTATTTTCCCTCTAAACTCATTGGGTCAGATGTTCAGCTGAAGTCAATGGTGCTATGACAATTTTTACACCAACCAAGGATCTTCTGTCCCTTTTATGGCTTGTAGAGTTTGGTTTTTGTGAGGGTTTGTGACTTGATTCGCCTTCCTGTGGGCAATTCAATGACTGTGGGGATTGGTTAGTAACAGAATTCTATATCAGCCCTAAACAGTATATTTCTACAATGGGATCCCCAGTGACTTCCCCCAAATCTGCTTTGCAATAGTTTGGTTGCTTGACTTTGCATATCTTTAGGGATCCCCTGGAGTCACAAAACCTTCCATGCAGAGGCCCTAGCTCCATGAACCGCCTGGAAGGGGCCTCAACTGGGACCCTTCTTTTATGGCCTTCATGTATTGCAGTCAAGCTCCCCACCAGTCTAATTGCAACATTTCTGCTAAAATGGTTCTTGGATTGTACAAGAAATGCAAGTCACATCAGCACCTTTTAAGAGCCCCTCCATTGGCTTCTCTTCAACCTTGACATCAAACATGGGCTTTGTTCTTTACTGTAAAGTCCCTCCATAACCTAACCCTACCCTATGCTGCTTAACCCCTTCTTGGCTCCTATCCTTGTACACATGCTGTTGGATTTGGGGGAGGGTATGGTGCTGTGGAGGTCACTGAACTTCACTCCTCTGCAAAAGCTGATCTTCCTTGGTAGATTAAAAAAAATGCCATTTATTTCCAGTTTTATGTTTGCCAGACAGACAATGGCAGGTAGCTACTATTTTCATCTTGTGCCAAAATTTGTGGGAAGCCCATTGGCATGTTACCACAGCTAAGACTACATGTCCAATTATCTCAAATAGCAGCTATACTACAGAATCTCCTTATAGCTGAGCCACTTGAGAGATGTCGAGCTCATTTCAGCTAAAGGTTACTTATTTTTTATACCTAACCTGAATTTTAAAAAGCATTAAAAACTACAAAGGGGATGGAAAGTGATACAATTAGGCATCATTTGGCCTACAGCCTAAAATAGAAGTGCATATTTTTATCCCACAACTCAGTCAGAACAAAAAGATGGTTTTGTGCTCAGAGACTTTATAGGTTTTCTCCATCCCAGACTAATTCCTGCAGGAGAGCCACAGCTGCAAACCTTGCATTCCTCTAAAGACAATTCCAAGCAATAATGAAGGAGACTGAAACTGCACAAATCTTTGGTTTGGAAGGGAAAAGTGAGGCTAATTTAAATGCATGTTAAAAGTTGTAAGGAAAAACACTTCCTGAGCCAGGAAAAGAAGTTGAAGTGCAAGGGGAGATCATGGCCAGGAAAATGGGTTATTGTGTAGGAGACTGGAGCAGATGACAAATAGGTCTCTAAACCATTCTAGGTATATTTACTGGAGAGAAGTATGAAAATCCTAATCAGTTTCAAGAATCTAAATATGACGAACACTAAGGAGGTTCATTGATTCTTGGCACGCTGAAACAAATATCCTTTAAATCTGAACATATTTTGTTGGCAATTTGGGCCAATGATTCTCTTAAAACTGTATTTAAAGGAGAGTCTCCCACACAAAGAGCCCCCCGTCCTATGAATAAAGAGAGGTCAACTGCCTCTGCAGCATCCAGCAATGAATTAAGGGATCGAACTACGGCCCACTGAAATAAATTGAATCTTTACACTGATTTCTAAAGGATTTGGTCAGGCCTTAAAGCCATGCTCAGCTAGTAAACAGTGAGGTTACTCAACACAGTATTGTGGAAGAAATGTCTCTGAGGATATTTAAATTCAAGTGTGCTTCCTTTACATTGTGAAATAGTCATGAAAAGGAGGCAGTAGGCCAGCAAGTGGGCAAATTAACAGCCAAATCCCATGAGGCAAAATGGCTCAGCTAAAATGTAGGGAAATGTATTGTGCAGGGGAGGAGGTTAATCGCACAGACTTTCTGGAAAAAATCAGAGGCAGTTTCTAACCGGATTTGGACAGAACCCTACTGAAGTTAATTTAGCTCAGTGATTCTTAACTGATTTCATAGATTTCATAGACATCAGGGCTGGAAGGGACCTCGGAAGATCATCGAGTCCAGCCCCCCGCCCAAAGGGCAGGAAGTCAGCTGGGGTCATAGGATCCCAGCAAGATAAGCATCCAGTTTCATCTTGAAGGTGTTCAATGAAGGCGCTTGAACCACCTCCGGTGGCAGGCTGTTCCAGACCTTGGGGGCTCGGACAGTAAAGAAGTTCTTCCTTATGTCCAGCCTGAAACGATCTTGAAGTAGTTTGTGACCGTTCGACCTCGTCATCCCTTGGGGCGCTCTGGTGAACAAACGTTCCCCCAGATGCTGGTGGTCACCCCTGATAAACTTATAGGTGGCCATCAGATCACCCCTGAGCCTGCGCTTTTTCAGGCTAAAGAGCCCCAGGGCTCTTAGCCTGTCATCGTAGGGTCTGCTTCCAACTGATGAGTTGTAGCACCCTGAGATGCCACCAGATGCTTTGAAGGGTACCACGAGGTATGAGGACATAAGCAAGGAGTGAAGAGATAAGCAGCACAGGCTCAAGCTTGCCCCTGCCTGGCTGATCCCCCACTGCCACCTCCCACCCCCCTGTAAAGAGGCAAATACTGCAATACATAAATTAGTTTTTGAACGTCGATGTCACTCAATTCACAAAAGTTATGGAGGGGTTCCTTGAGTCCAAAAAAGGCTGAGAACCACCATGAGAGGAGAATTCAGCCAATCAGAATATAACTAAAAACATTTGAGGTTTAAGTTGCATTTGGTTCTGGCAGTCTACAAACTCTGTGAAGAGCTGCATATTTTTTGTTTGATGCTTCTGCCAGTCCTAGAAGTAGGGCCAGCTTACTATCAACACCAATGTTTTCTCTTTGCTTAGCTCAGGCTTCCACTTATTTATAAATGCATGTTTTTTGCTACATTTCTATTGGAAAAAAATAATATCTAAAATACAGGGAAAATATTTAAAAATTTTTGAGCACCCCAGAACTTTAAAATATATTCCAAATGTATAAATATAAAAATGTCATTGAGATTCCCACATCTAATCACAATAATGAGGAACCTGCACTCTAGTGTGACATTCATCTTTTTAAAAATGGATTTACAGTTTTTTGGGGGTGTTTTGCTTACGATTCCTCAGAGACAAGTTGCTCTTGCATCATTGCTATTAACTCTTCCTACATTTTCTTGATGACTGCCTGATGCTTATGAAATAATGAATAATAGTTACCCTGTTTTTTCTAGTCCCCCCCCGATGTGATTTATGGAGTTGGATTCAAATGCAATGTTTTTCTTACAAATGTGATAATTTTGGTAACTTTAATCTTAATAGATCTAATGATATTTATAATATTCTACACAGTAACAACATTAAACAAAAATGTTAGGTGTCATTCTTGACAATGAGGCACTGTGTTTAACCAGTCCTTTCAGATTCAGATGTAGAATGGTCAGCAGACAGTTTTGCAGAAGGGAAACAGAATTATACTGAACTCGAAAAAGGAACCACTTGCTTGCCAGCCACATACACTTCAGAAATATTCCGATCATCACCTGAAACAATACAGTCAAAAGAGGTTTTTATATTGATCTACACATTTTATGCAGTTAGTACTTGTATTAGTAAGTGAATGTCTTTTAGGTGATGCTACTGTGCAATAGCTTAATAATACAGCACAATAGCGTATTAGCACTGTCCGTGTTGTGACACGCTACTACGTAGTATTTTCCAACTACTGCACAGTCAGCTTCTCACGTAGATGCACCCCTTGTGAATGTTACTATACTCAACACCCTTTGTGGGAATGATAATTTGAAAGACTGCAGTGCATAGCCTTTCTGCACAATGAAATAACTATGATGTGGTCCTCCTTTAGGGAGGAATTGCCAAGCAAACTTTGCTCTTTAGTTGAGTACTAGTACCTTAAGCCTCAAGAGGATAAAACCAATCAGGGTTTTCTTGTAAGAATAAAGGCAGCTCTACATACAGTTTTTACAATGATTAATTAATCTGCTTCTATTATGCATTTCATCAAATTGATGCAAAAACATAGGAGGATGTCTATATGGCACAATGCCATTAGAGATAACAAACCTAGCTTTAAATGCTACCAGTGTATCCTGAGCACAGCTACATGCTAATATGGGCAAACTATTTCTGGTCATCAAGATACAGTATTTAGAACTAGTTAACCCACTTCAGTCTCTACACAATACTACATTGTGCCAAGTGGACGTACCATGTATGTAGGAAAGTACACCTAGGTCCATGCAAAGACTATATAATATTTTCATAGACAGTGGTTTCCTGCCTTTTTATGGAAAACAGGGGCACAATAGTTACCATTCATGGAAGATCATTGCCAGGGTTTAGTTTTGTGTAGACTGGAAAAATCATTTGTATTTTAAAATATATTGATATTACCTCATTGTTAAACATCATGCAGTATAGGTCCCTGCCACATGTTACATATATTACAAAATCAACTGGTTAATTGCACAATAAATTTAGCCCAGCCACACATGCAAAGTAATTATCATGTTATAAAAATATCCGTCCAGCTATAAAAAGAGCTAACACACTATAAAGTTACTGCTTGACAATATGTAACATCTCTATAGATGGTTTCTATCCAGCTGTAATTTGAACATGTGGCAGAGTCCATAGATAAAGACAATTAGGCTTACACAGCTAGTAGTCAAATAGATTAACCTGCCCAGCTGATCACTGTAAACTGATCACAGTAAACTGTGTAATTCTTTTTAATTATAGAGCAAAAGGAAAAAATGCACTTAATTCATAATTATGTAAATAAATCATTGTAGGCACGTCTACATGAGATGCTAACTGCACAGTAGCCTAATAACAATGCACAGTAGTGCATAACAGTGCTAATACGCTTCTGCACAGTATTATTTGGCTACTATGCAGTAGCATCACTAAAAAGGTGTCCACTGGCACTACTGCAGTAATATCAGTTTTGCACAGTGATTTAGTACTTGATTATACAAGTACTAAATTTAATGCACAGAAACTATAGCACATTAATGAACGTGTAGATGCACCTTATGATTTTACAAAGGGAAAGTGATCCATCTTTTTATCATGTTAGAAAATTATCTAGCTCAGTATGAGATGAAAGGAGAATTTTCTGTATAATAAGAACTGGTACATACCTAGATACAGGAACTTCTGGAAGCTATCCTGAAAATAAGGTGGGGAAAACAAATTTCAAAAATCAGATTCTACCCTCATAACAATCCAAAATTTAAAGTAGTTTTTTAAAACAAATCACATTATATTGATATTTATTTTATTCTTAAGTATAAAGTTAAACTTCTATATTTGCAAATTTCTTCTTTTTTTAAAAAAGAGATTGTGTCTTAGAAGTTGCCTTGTCCTCAGTGCTTTCTTTCCTGTTCTGGAGCTGAGTTTGCCAACCAAAGCCAACCTAAGAACACAACAGTATTTTTCCAGTGTAGATATACCATCATAGGCCACTAGTTCTCAGGGGTTATTGGGGTAAACTAATATCACCACAGCTGTTAGCTACAATATAGATACTAAGGTTACTTAAAGACATTTAGGGTGGGTGTTTAGATTGGATTAAAAATGGCTTCTCAATCTAAAGTAAGTCAAGATGAAACGGGGCTAGCAGGCAGGGGCTTGAGGGGCCAAGCAATGTCTGTGGGAGGGCTGCAGGGCTGCTTGGGGAGATTGAGAGTGACTAGTGGGAAGCTTGGGAGGATTGAGTTCCACAGGGGGCTTGGTTGGGTCCCAAGGGTTTGGCAGGATCAGGGAGGCAAGCAAGATCTGCGGGGGAGGGCTAGGGAAATTGGGGGGGTCAGTGGGATTGTAATGGCTCTCTGATCCTGCCAACTGCCCCCCACCCCCCAAGCCTCTCCTCAGTGCTGCTGAACTGCCCCTAATCCCTAAACTGCTCCCAGGGCCCTTTTATGAGTTTTCACAAGTTCCAGGAGCCTAATTGAAATAAGTTGGGGTGGGGGGAGTGGTGGCTCTGCAAAGATGGGGGGATTGGCAGGATGAGGGATCTCCCTACCCCCAGGACCTATATGTAGTCTCCCGTCCCCCCACCCTCAAATGAAGAACCGCCCCCAGCAAACCAACCCCACTCCCCCCTGCCCCTCCCCCTCCCCTGACTTATTTCCATCAGCTCCAAGCACTGGTAAACACCAGTAAAACTGGCACCAGGAACAGCTTGAGGGCTTGCAGGGTTTGACAGGCTCAGGGAAAGGTGGGTGCTGGCTAATCAACTGGGGGATTGTCCATCTAGAGGTGTGTGTGTAGGGGGAGGGGATCAGGTGGCTAGACACTGCTTGGTGCTGGGATGGGGAGAGGTACTAGCAAAAGCATGACTGCAGGGCTGGGGCCAGCAGCTGGGCTTTTCCAGCCATGGGGCCACACTGGGAACTGTACAGAAGTTCAGTTAGATCAGTCTCACTAGGCCCAATCTAAGTTAGACTACCACCAAGGTACAGTTAACTTAGATCAAGTCCACTGTTTTTAGGCTAATCTAACCTTCCTGAACTTCTGTGCAGTTTGCACTTATATCTACCTAACTAGGGATATAAATATAAGGTCTGAATCTTGGTGAACTAAGTTAGATCAGGTATCCATTTTTAACATGATCTAACCTCCCCAAACATTTGTATTTTTCCTGAGCAATGAGTCTGACATATTGTAGGGTACAGGACATCTGCTTGTTACAAAAATACTCCCAATGGACTGGGGCCACTTCAGGCCCTGAAGGCTGCAGTACCCCTAGCCACTTCATAAATATGTAGCACTAACTTTCTGGGTCACTCCACAAACTTAATGGGTTGATTACCTCAAAAGTATCAGCAGCAAACAAATCAAAGGGGCTGTCTGACGCCTTGGAGTTGACCAGCAGTGCATCAAATTCTTTTCCGACCTCAAAGTTTCCGATTATATTATCTAGTCCTAGAGCTGTGAAACATAACCAGTTAATCAAGGAATCTCTAATTTTCTATAAATGCACAATCCCTAATGCCAAGTTATTTTAATCCACATTTTATTCAAAGCCTCATCTGAAAAGCTTTCACCTGATTGTCTTGAGTGTCATTAAAGAGGAGCTGAGGGTGCTGAATATTTTCGATAACAGCTCTTTTATTTTTAAGAGTAAAGGGCTAAATGGATGCTGCCAGGATCTGACTTTGTGGTGCAAGTAATTCAGCTCATTCAACCCTGAAGCTTAGAACGTTATGACTTCAATCCAATAATGTGCAGTGACTGCACAGAGCTCCATTGTTTTTAAGATCTTGCCCATGCTGGTCCATTTGGAGGATTTGGTGTCTAAGCCACCCTAACTAGACAACTATAGGGCAGATTTCTGCAAATGTGAATCTAGAGGTGAACTAAATAAACCATACTTCAGTGAGGGCCTGATCTGTCTAGGGCAGTGGTGCTCAACCGGTGGGCTGGATGGGCAGTGGCCAAGCCGTCTGGACTGGATCCGGATGATGGTCCCGAACCACATGGGAAAGTTATGTCAGGGTCCCACCAAGCCATGAAGAGGGGGGCAGGGAGCATCCCAGCTCCAACCTGGCCCCACAAAGAGGAGGGAGGGAGAGTGGCCCAGCCCCATGGAGGGTAAAGGACTTGACCTGGCCCTTTGAAGGGGGAGGGCGGGGCTTAAGCGAGCCTCAACCAGGCCCCATGGAGGGAAGGAGGCATGGTCTAGTCGCATCCAGCCCAGGGGAGGAACATGTCCCAGCCTCATCCAGCCACAGGATTGGGGGTGGGGGTGTGACCTGGCACTAACTTGCTGCATGGGATGTGGGGTTTGGAAATTCAGCAGTGGGGGAGGGTGGCCATGTTTATTGCCACCACTCCCCTGCTGTCACATTTCCCGATCCATTGGGAGCCTCGCAGGACACATTTGGCCCATAGGCCAAAGGCTGAGGACCTCTGGTCTAGGGAAATCAAAGGACAGACTCCGACTGATTTCAATGAGCATTGGTGGATTTGTTTTCATGTAATGTTGCTTTACTAAGCCACCTAAGTGGTCAGCTCTTGAAATTATGGGTATATATGTAGTTTCTAATTACATTGGACGTGATTGCTGAATGCTTTGGGATCTTTGGATGGAAGTATTGTTGATCCCAAATTCAGTGTTGACTAGTGCAAGATATAACCGAGGACTAGAACTGGGCTTCAGATTTTCAAGTTTCCTAACAGCTCAGACATAGCCCAAAATTCTGCTGTGTAGTTATCAAGCATGGGGCCAGTTTTTATTTTACTGGTTCATATGGAGACTGGAGTAGATGACCCTTACAGCCCTAGTTTCCTATGATCCTGTGGTCTTCAGCTGATGAAGCATCCTGTTAGTTCATTTTACAGGAAAGTCCCACGTGAAGGAGTTAGTATGAAGCCCTACTGCAAACATGTCTTGAGTTTTCATCTGTAGGATATCTACAGAATAGTTCCTTGTGGTGGGACAGGAAAGCAGAGGGGCCAAAAACACATCCCTAAGGCTTGTTTTATTGGATAGTGGGATCTACTTTTTTTCCTTTTATTATTTTCCACCTCACAGCTCACAGTACTATTAAATTATAACCTCTGGGTCTGGTTTTTAGAGATGTCAAACAACCACTGTTGAAGTCGGTAGTATTTGCAGGTGTTCAGCATCTCTAAAATTAAGCATTTGTGTCATTCTATTCTCTTTTTTAAATAATTAAACTGGTATGATGTATCTGTAAGATAAAATAAGCTTCACTAGGAATTCCACTGGTATTGCCCAGAGCAAAATATCAGCACAGAATCTCTTCTTTAGTTTGAAAGGTTCAAGGCTGGCAACTGAAATTACAGTTGGTATAGAAATTTGCTTGGTATTGCAGCAAGGTTTAACAAAAATAAGAATGGTGAAATAATAGCTTTGTCAAATTGGTTGTGGATGCAATTAAATACCAACTTCACCTGAAAGGGTCTGTTGTGATTTTTCTCTAGTGTGCCTATTGCAATTTCTGAGTTAAACACAAGGGGGTGTTAAAGGATCAGAAGTCTTAGCAGTCAAATCGCATAGCAAAGCAGTAAATATCAAGAAGAAATCTTCCCAATCCAGACTTTCCCAAGTCACATTGGTCTAAGGTGGGTGGTTGAACAAAACAATAATACAATTTAGCATTTAATAGTAACTTACAATTTTAGAAAGAAAGAAAGAAAGGTGATTCAATACATCTACAATCATTTTTAAATGGATATGTAAAATAAACCTACCATCAGCAGCATAACTGAACAATTCTGCTGGCAGTGGTCAGGAAAGCAGTGGTGGTGGCTGCTATTTTTGCACCCCAGTGAAGTCAGCACCTGGGGCTAGTGCCCAGTTGCCACCCCCACTTTTTTTATGCTACTGCCCACCATATTTTTGTAACCTAAAAACCCAAGTTCAATGCAGACTACCACAGTATATAGGTGAGGGCTAAAACTGGGCTTCAGGGGCACTTTTACATGTGCTCCAGGGAGGAGGGCAGTCAGCACTTTAATTAGAGCAGGTCTGAGAGCTGCTCTAATTAAAGTACCACCACATCTCTTGTATCAGTGTCAGCCTTGGTCTGTAACATCTCAAATGAGTACCTTAGCCACTAGTCAGCCAGTAGGCATGTCTACATGAGACTTTTACTATGGAGCTAATTACCTCTGCAGCAAATATCTCAATGTCTATACTATTAGGCCACGGTAAACTAATAAATGCTGCCATAGGATAATACTTGTAAACACAGGTGCTACCCTACAGCAGCATTTTTAGTGCACTGCAACACAGGTGTAGATGCTGATGGGAATGCCTGGAGCATGAAGGTGCTTCAGTGCAGGAGCTGAACCTTTTTATGGAACCTAGCACAATCTATTTGTCAACTTGTTTTACATTAACTGGTATTTTCTAACCAAAAAATATACCTGACTACCTCTTCTGCTATATCTGCTGCCAATTAAATCATGACATCTACCCATGCTTAGATTTGCTTTCTACTAAACAGTGCAAGTTCTATTGTAACATTATGCTTGATGATTTTTTTTCTTTTTAAAAGCAGTAATCATGTATATCAACCATAACAAACTATCTTAGTGAACCAGATTACTAGATGCATTGGCTATAACTGCTATAGTCTGACAGTGCTGCTGAACTTTAAACAACAATATTGTGTCTGTTGTTTAGATTTTATTCACACTTATTTCTGGCTCAGAGGTGATTTGCAATATGTCATGTTTTAATAAAATAATAGGCTGTCTCGCAGTGGCTCAAAAAAGAAGGAATAAAGCACGTATGTGAAGTGGATATGAAACATAATTTATAATAGTTGCATCATGCTTTTTGAAGTATTGGCTGCTGAATTATCTTGCAGTTGCAACATACAGAAATCCATCATCTCTCCATGACAGAAAACTCAGGATTTCTTTAGAGAAAATGTAAAGCCTTGAAAATGCAATGAGACTTAATTATCCAAACTGGCAATGTCATTATGAATGTTTTTCAGGTATCATATCTGGTATCTTTATGAACCACCCTCTAGTGTTGGGTTTATTCCAGTACAGAATATCTTATTTTTCTCTGCTTTTTTTCTTCCCAGAAAAAAATATATATTAAAAAAAAAATTATAGAGCCTGAAGGAGCTCCCAAAGTAAAAATAAGATTTTGTTAAAGAATTTTATCTTGGTCCCAGATATTCTGGAGTGGGTTGATAGGGCTACATTTTGAGGACAACAAAAACACTGTAAAATAGCTGTAATCAGAACACAATATACGTAATCTACAGAGAATAAAATGTCTCCTTACCTTGGCTTCCTCCAAGAGTTGCTAGTCGGAAAACTTCTTTAATTGTTAGGCCTTCCTCATTGATTTTATTTATTTTAAGGCCATTAGACATAATCATTGTTTTCCTTATAGCATCCAGCATGGAAGCTGAATACCCACCAGCAACATCTACAATAGATCAAAATCATAAAGCTCAGATTTTTGGATATAGTGTTAAGTTTAAAATGTATGAACTGCAATACAATGTTAGATAATGGCAGGTGATATAGAAAAAAAAATCACTGTTATGCTCTACTTCTACTGAACAATTCCTAAACAAGATTGATATGACAGCTGCATGAACAGCTGTATGAGTGATACAGATAATACAGAAAATCATAATTCCAGATCACATGCTCATTACTTTTGATCAGAGGAACATATTATCTCCATTCATTTTCACAACATTTTAAATGTTTTGATCAGTTCAAGATCTAAGGCAATGGGAAACTAGATCCACTAGTTAACTTGTACGCAAGTTAAAAACTTTAATATAAACATATGTCAATTTATTTGCAGGATAAAATAGCTCTAAAACAAATAGTCCTATAGGAAATTACTAACCTGTGCCCAAGCCCAGTTTCACTTTGTGTTTCAGAACTTTTTGCACATTTAAATTGCCACTACACAACCTGGATTGGAAAGAAACAGGTCTTATATCACATGCACAACAAAAAGTGTAAAGGCTCATTTCTGTAGTCCTTGCTCAAACAAGATGTTACTGGGGGTTTACTTGGGCTGTGTATACTTGTTCAAGTGATCTGGTAGAAAACACTTACCTAGAGACCCCAGAAAAGATATTCAAATGCCAAGCCCCTGAGGAGCAGAGAGTTCACAGTGCTGATGCTGCACAGCCACAGAGCCCTTTTGTATGCATCTCGGTGTGCTCTGCAGGCTCCCTCAATCCATCTGGTGACAGATGGCAGCAGTGCACAGGGCAGCCCTGACTGGCTGGCCCAGACTGCTCAAACTGCACATTTTGGGGACTGTGAAGGGTGTTCTGCTCTCTGCTCTGCTGGAACAATAGAGGCCATCCCAAGCAACACCCTGTCTCCCTGGGAAGAGGGAGGAGAACCAGGATCAAAGCACCCTGGGTGGCTGAAGAATTGTCCCGCAGCTTCTCAGAAGGAAGAGTGTACAGACATTTTTTTTTTCCAGGAGAAACTCTCCTGGGAGTGTGTTAACCCTGGATGTTCCCAGGGTTTTTTTTTTCTCCCAAGTAGACATTTTTGTTCTAGGGAAAAAAAAATCCTGAGCATCTGCACACTTGCAGTTTCTAGTGGGAGAGCAGCAACTCTCCCAGTAGAAACTGAGGGCATTTATACATGTGCTCCGGGGTGGAGGATGCGTGCTTTGCATTTGACGAGCTTTAGTTAAAGCACCCCTGTTGAAATATGGGGACGCTGAATACACATGATGCGGAGGTTGCTCACGCTAATTAGCATGCTCCAGCAGACTCGTAGCAGACTCAATTCATCGAATCTGCTCCATCATGTGTATAGGTACCCTGAATGTCTGTACATGTTCTTGAGCAATAACAGAAGAGTATGCCACTAAGACAGTTTCATGGCAATGTGTCTCTATACAAAGTATTTTCCAAAATGTGACCAGTGATGCCTTATCCAGTAGAGAGAAACCACGCATATTTATAAAGCTGAATAATGCATCTTTCAAATGATACGGATCAATTAAACAAACTCACTAGAAGATCTCTGTAGTCTCATGTTCATAACCAAAAATTAGATCTTTAGTATATTCAGAATGGGCCAAAACCAAAAGCAGAAGTGAGCTAGTCTAAATAACACATTCATTTTTAATGTGGAGGTGTAACTTAATGCCACAAATCTGTTAAACTGTACTAGATCACCAGAAGGCAAGAAGATGAATCTGTTAAAAGGCAGTCTCTTGTTCTGGAGGCTGATGGGTCACCAGGAAAGGGAGGTTCCACAGTGAGTAGAAGAGAGTGAGAAATGAGTGAAGCAGTCCAGCTGTTCCTGAGACATGTCATACCTAATATATCACCAAGGATTGCTTCAGCAGTAACAACAAACTCTTTGAAGACTTCATGAAGGGACATTGCTCCATCATACAAGAGAAAGGAGCAGTAGGAGAAACTGATAATAAGAAGCTGTGAGTTAGAGCAGGGAGGGGAAAAGTTCACTGATTACTTTTTACCCTACATTTTCTCCAAACTTTCATAAGAAAATCCTATGAACTTGGATTTCTTTAGTGCCCAATTTTGAAATTTTTATAACCCTCTGAGTCTGGAGTAGCTCCACTAAAATCACTAAGAGCTGTTGTGTCATTTAAAATCTTCACCGGGCAGAAATGAAATGTAAACAGCAATCTCACTCTCACAGTTCACATTATTTTGAAGTCCCCAAAACAGGATTACCATGTGGCAGCAGGTAGGATTGAAAGCTCCGTTTGAACCACAGCTTTTTGTTAACTGTTTTCTACTTACAAAAAATTGGAGTTGGGGCAATGGGCAATTGAAGCTCCTCGAAGATTAAAAATGTCCAGCTCTTCTTCTGAGAGATAACAGCCGTGGGCCATCACTGTCTAGGGAAATAATACCACAATATTTCTTCAACACAGAGTTTATTTTGCTGCCTTTAGAAATTGTTGTTTTACTTGCATCATCCAAAAGGTTCCCTCCCACTGTCAGAGATGAAAGAGCAGGATGATTAACAATATTATCCAGGGGTACTTGACCTCTGGCCCATGGGCCAAATGCAGCCCATGGCAACGTGGCAACTGGCCCACGGGACTTCCCACAGGTCAGGAAATTTTGTGACAGAAGAGCAGTGGCAATACCTCTACATTTCCCTGCTTCCAAATCCCCTGTCACTGCAGGACCAGGTCAGAACCAGGCCAAACTCTCTCCCCCAGCTCTGCTGAAGCCAGGCCAAGCCCCCAATTCCCCCCACCCTGCAAGGCAGGGGGGTATATCAGATGCAGGAAGGGACATGTTTGTAAAATTCAGCCCCATATAGATTCTGTGCTGCTTTCCAGGAGAAACTTGTCCTTTATGTGGGGCAGATCCAGGGAGGTACAGTGGCATGGTCTTTGGTTGTATGCCATACATGCAGAGAAAATTAGAAATCATCTACTTCACCTACTCTACTCCAAAAGAGACCAACTCAGGAAGGAAATCGTCATACACTACAACAACTTAAAAGATAGAAATCCATGCATGTTCCCTGACAATATACAGTGGATACAAAGAGACTACGAAAAACTTTCTACAGCATTCATCCTACATAAAAAGAAGAAATGGAACAAATTACTCCAAGAACAAGCTCCCCAGCCA